GTAAGTCGAGGACTACTCAACCGGTGCAGCGCCGTTTGCAGAATGGGACTTTTGGCGGGCTCGGCAGGGCAGAGACAGCCTGGACAATTCCTATTGGCTTTTGAAAGCCAACAGAATTAGACTCTATTCAAGAGAGTCTCTTCGATTGGCTTTCCAAAGCCAACAGAATAAAAGGGAGGAGCACAGCTAAGGAAAAGGGGGAAAAAATGGCGGACGGCGTTGTTTGGCGACCCCCGTGAAATGGTCGTTCGACCCCAAATGGGGTCCCGACCCACAGATGGAGAACCACTGGCCTAGACTTAACGACAGTCCGTTTAGTGACTGTTCCAAGTTACAATGGCACAGAAAAAAAACGGGACTTAGGGCTATTTTTCACACTTAGGACCGTTTGTAGCATCACCCAGGTCACAGGTTCGAAATTCAGATGCTGGGAAACTGACCCGCATTGATGACCGTCGTAGCGTCAACCTTCTGACCAGCAAAGTCAACGTGGCAGCTGGATTCACTTAACAACCATGTTACTAACTAAATAATTCTGGGAGTGGAAGTGCTCCCCCTCTTGAAGCAGGTCGGCTGGGGGATTCTGGGAGTGGAAATCTTAAAGCAACCTATATTATATTCTATATATTCTAGTCTATTCTCTCTTCTATTATCCATTCTCTCTTCTAGTCTCTATTCTATATATTCTATTCTATTCCATTTCTTATTCTAATCTTATCATATTCTCTCTTCTATTCTATATTCTCTATTCTCTTCTATTCTCTCTTCTAATTGCTATATTCTATTCTATTCTCTCTTCTATTATCTATTCTATTCTCTATATATTCTATTCTATTCCATTTCTTATTCTATTCTCTTCTATATTCTCTATTCTCTCTTCTCTTCTCTTATCTATTACCTATTCTATTCTCTATTCTATATATTCTATTCTATTTCTTATTCTAATCTTATTCTGTTCTCTCTTCTATTCTCTATCTTCTATTCTATTCTGTATTCTATATATTCTATTCTATTCCAGTTCTTATTCTAATCTTATTCTATTCTATTTTCTATTCTATATTCTCTATTCTTCTATTCTCTCTTCTATTATCTATTACCTATTCTATTTTCCATTCTATATATTCTATTCTATTTCTTATTCTAATCTCTATTCTCTTTTCTCTTCTATTCTCTTCTATATCTTCTATTCTATTCTCTATCATCTATTATCTATTCTATTCTCTATTCTATATATTCTATTCCATTTCTTATTCTATTATATTCTCTCTCCTATATTCTCTATTCTATTCTCTTATAATTTCTATATTCTATTCTATTCTCTCTTCTATTATCTATTCTATTCTCTATATTCTATTTTATTCCATTTCTTATTCTAATCTTATTGTATTCTCTCTTCTATTCTATATTCTCTATTCTCTTCTATTCTATTCTCTATTATCTATTCTTTATATTCTATTCTATTTCTTATTCTAATCTTATTCTCTTCTCTTCTATTCTCTATCATCTATTCTCTATTCTATTCTCTATTCTATATATTCTGTTCTATTCCATTTCTTATTCCATTTCTTATTCTCTCTTCTATTCTATATTCTATATTCTTCTATTCTCTTCTATTCTCTCTTCTCTTCTATACTCTGTTCTATATATTCTATTCTAACTCTATTGTATTCTCTATCTTCTATTCTATTCCATTTCTTATTCTATTCTATTCTTATTGTATTCTTATTCTTATTCTTCTTATTCTATTCTGTTCTGTTCTATCCTATTCTTATTGTTATTCTATTCTTATTCTATCCTACTCTAACTGCAGGAGCTATACAGGCAGTTCTCGACTCACGAGCATAATCGCGTCCAAAACGTACATTGCTAAGTCAGACAGTTGCTCAGTGACTTCTCTCCCGTTTGACCTTTCTTGCTACTGCAGTCAAGCCATCAACTGCGGTCGTTAAGCGAGGAACACAGTGGCCACATGACTCTGGCTTCCCCCCGCTCGGCTTTGGTCATCAGGTCGCAAAAGGGGATCGGGTGACCCCAGGGACGCTGCGACCGTCATAAATACGAGTCGGTCACCAGGCGTCTGAATTTGCATCACGTGACCCCGGGGATACCGTGACCGTCATAAATATGAGTCAGTCGCCGAGCATCTGAATTCTGATAGCAAGACCGTGCTGGGGTGGGGGGTGAAACGCTGCAAACCGTCATAAATGTATGTTGGGTTGCCCAGAATGTGAATTGGGAAAAGAAAGAAAAAAGAAAGAAAGAAAGAAATAAATAAAGAAAGAAAGAAAGAAAGAAAGAAAGAAAGAAAGAAAGAGAGAGAGAGAGACAGGGAGGGAGGGAAAAAAAGGAAAGGAAGGAAGGAGAGAGGGTGGGTGGGAGGGAGGAAGGAAATGAAGGAAGAGAAGGAGGGAGGGAAGAAAGGAAAAGAAAGAAAGAAAGGAAGAAAGAAAGAGGTAATGAAGGAAGGAAAGAGACAGGGAGGGAGGGGAAAAAAGGAATGAAAAAGAGAGAAAGAGTATGGGAGGGAAAGAAAGAAAAAGAAAGAAAAAGAAAGAAAGAAAGAAAAAGAGAGAAAGAAAGAAAGAAAGAAAGAAAGAAAGAAAGAAAGAAAGAAAGAAAGAAAGAAAGAAAGAGAAAAAAGGAGACAGGGAGGGAAAAAAGAAAAGGAAGGAGAGGGTGGGAGGGAGGAAGGAAATGAAGGAAGAAAAGGAGGGAGGGAGGGAAGGAAAGAAGGGAAGGAAGGAGGGAGAGGGAAGAAAGGAAAAGAAAGAAAGAAAGAAAGAAAGAAAGAAAGAAAGAAAGAAAGAAAGAAAGAAAGAAAGAAAGAGAGGAAGGGAGGGAGGGAGGGAGGGAGGGAGAGAAAAAAGGAAAAGGAAAGAGAGGGTGGTAGGAAGGAAATGAAGGAAGAAAAGGAGGGAGGGAGGGAAGAAAGGAAAGAAGGGAAGGAAGGAAGGAGGGAGAGGGAAGGAAAAGAATGAAAGAACGAAAGAAAGAAAAAGGAAGGGTTGTAAGTCAAAGACTACCTGTAGTTAACATTCCTCCACCACACACACACGCACACACACACGCACTACTGGCCTAAGAGTCCATCTTTCTGTTTCCAGCCAGGCCGGACATTCTCTCGATAAATACCATTCGTACTGGGTTCGAGTCCCGCCTCGCTTCCGAAGCCTCCTTTTCGTCGTCGAGAGAGGAAAGGTGCAGGGAGCCACGAGAGGCGGGTCTGGTTGGCTTCTTGAACTCAAAGTGCTCCTGGAGGGGGGAAAAAAAGGGACACAATGCTCTCTTTTTTTTTTTTTTAACATAATGCACCTGCGTGTCCGTCCTCCTCCAGAAGTGGTGAATGCGCCCACACTGGAGGTTTTGAAGAAGAGGTTGGACAATCCTTTGTCCTGCCTGAGCAGGGGGCGGGACTGGATGACCTCCGAGGTCCCTTCCACTTCTGCTACTCTATGAGTCTGTAAGGGTCTCCTGCTTAAGTAGGGGGTTGGACTAGATGACCTTCAGGGGTCCCGTCCAACTTCGTCCTTCTGTGATTCTGTAAGGGTCTCCTGCTCAAGCAGGGGGTTGGACTAGATGACCTCGAAGGTCCCTTCCAACTCTTGTCATTCTATGATTCTGTAAAGGTCTCCTGCTTGAGCAGGGGGTGGGACGAGATGACCTTCAGGGTCCCTTCTAACTTCGTTCTATGATTCTCTAAGGGTCTGTTGCTTGAGCAGGGGGTTGGACTAGATGACCTCCAGGGTCCCTTCTGACAGTTATTCCATGATTCTGTAAAGGTCTCCTGCTCGAGCAGGGGGTTGGACTGGATGACCTCCAGCGTCCCTTCCCACTCTAATTCTGTGATTCTGTAAGGGTCTCCTGTTTGAGCAGGGGGCTGGATTAGAGGACCTCTAAGGTCCCTTCCATCTTTGTTGTTCTACGATTCTGTAAGGCTCTGCTGCTCGAGCAGGGGGTTGGACTGGATGGCCTCCAAGATCCCCTCCGACTCTTGTTATTCTGATTCTGTAAGGCTCTCCTGCTCGAGCAGGGGGTTGGACTGGATGGCCTCCAGGGTCCCTCCCGACTCCGTCATTCGATGGCCTCCCGCTCCTCTCCTCACCCATTGGGACATTTTCTCTCGACAAGCCAAAAAACAACAACAACAACAACAAAAAACTCACGTTCTCTTTGTTCTCTTCGGGACCGAGAGCTCGGACGACGTCATCGTCCGGGCGAGCCGACGGGATTCCTTTCAAGGCAGGGCTGCAGCCCAGAAGACCGTGCTTTTTTAAAAAAAGAAAAACAAAAGACCCATAATAATAAAAATTAGGGGGGGGGAATAAAAAGCCATCCCAGAGTCACGCGGGGGGGGGGGGGTAGAAGCGTTCTATTTAAAAGGCAAACCCCCCCCCCCAAAAAAGGCCAGCAAGAAAAGACAGATTAAAACAGGTTTGAATGAATGAAGGCGGGAGGCTGACAGACGGAGGAATCCTAAGACGGATCAGAGAGCTTTCGTGTTTTGAAATTGTAGAAGTACACTGCGTGTCTGAAACGAGGCCCCGGCCTGAGCAGGGGGCTGGACTAGATGACCTCCGAGGTCCCTTCTGGCTCTGTTATTTTATTATTCTTAGGGTCTCCTGCTTCAGCAGGGGGGGCTGGACTGGATGACCTCCGAGGTCCCGTCCCACGCTCTTATTCTGTAATTCGGTCAGAGCCTCCTGCTTGAGCAGGGGGGCTGGACTAGATGACCTCCGAGGCCCCTTCCGACTCTGTCCTTCGATCATTTTGGTAAGGGTCTCCTGCTTAAGCAGGGGGCTGGACTAGAAGACCTCTGAGGTCCCTTCCAGCTCTGTCATTCTATGATTCTGTAAAGGTTTCCTGCTTGAGCAGGGGGCTGGACTAGATGACCTCCAAGGTCCCTTCCGTTATTCTATGATTCTGTAAGAATCTCCTGCTTGAGCAGAGGGCTGGACTCGATGACCTCCAAGGTCTCTTCCAACTCTTTGCTGTGATTCTGCAAGGGTCTCCCGCTTGAGCAGGGGGCTGGACTAGATGCCCTTAAAGGTCCCTTCCAGCTCTGTCCTTTTCTGATTCTGTAAGGGTCTCCTGCTTGAGCAGGGAGCTGGACTAGATGACCTCCCAGGTCCTTTCCTACTCTGTTATTCTATTATTCTTAGGGTCTCCTGCTTCAGCAGGGGGTTGGACTAGAAGACCTCCAGGGTCCCTTCCAACTCTGATATTCAGTTGAGGAGGAGGAAGGGGTCTCCTGCTTGAGTAAGGGGCTGGACTAAATGACCTCCGAGGTGCCGTCCCACGCTCTTATTCTGTAATTCGGTCAGAGCCTCCTGCTTGAGCAGGGGGGCTGGACTAGATGACCTCCGAGGCCCCTTCCGACTCTGTCCTTCGATCATTTTGGTAAGGGTCTCCTGCTTAAGCAGGGGGCTGGACTAGAAGACCTCTGAGGTCCCTTCCAGCTCTGTCATTCTATGATTCTGTAAAGGTTTCCTGCTTGAGCAGGGGGCTGGACTAGATGACCTCCGAGGTCCCTTCCGTTATTCTATGATTCTGTAAAAATCTCCTGCTTGAGCAGGGGGTTGGACTAGATGACCTCCGAGGTCTCTTCCAACTCTTTGTTGTGATTCTGTAAAGGTCTCCTGCTTGAGCGGGGGGCTGGACTAGATGACCTCCAGGCTTCCTTCTAACTCTGTCCTTCTCTGATTCTGTCAGGGTCTCCTGCTTGAGCAGGGGGCTGGACTAGATGACCTCCGAGATCCCTTCCGTTATTCTATGATTCTGTAAGAATCTCCTGCTTGAGCAGGGGGCTGGACTAGATGACCTCCGAGGTCTCTTCCAGCTCTTTGCTGTGATTCTGTAAGGGTCTCCCGCTTGAGCAGGGGGCTGGACTAGATGACCTCTGAGGTCCCTTCCGACTCTTGCCCTTCTGAACCAACTCTTTTTCCAGCCATTCTCCCTGCCCCCCCCCCCGGGCCTCTAAAATGCACCAGACCCCCTTTATTTTCCGCCCCCTTCTCCGCCACGTCCCGTAAAACCCGGGCGCCCCAGCGAGCGCCGTTGCAAGAAAATCCCATTCAGAAAACAAGGCACAAGTCCTCAAGACCCAAAGAGACTCTGCTTCCTCGGCTGGCTGAACGTACCGGCAGCGAGTACATCCTTCTGATGGGGAGGCGAAAGCTGCAAGAGAAAAACAGAGGAACTTTTTTTTTAAAAAAAAAAATGAAACCCAAGCCAAACCGGGGGCGTTAATTTACTTCTGATTTTACTTCTAATTGTCACGCGAATCAAAAGAAAATCTGAGCCAGGTTCCCGTCGATGCCAGACTTCTCCACGTTTAAGGAGAATGGGAAAGCGAGTTATGTCATTGATAAGAAGGAATTTTTTTATTTTTTTATTTTTATTTTTAACTAAGACAAAACAGAACAAAACAAAACATAACACACATACACACACAATATATACTCCTTTTTTTTTACAGCAATTACGTAACGGTAATCTAATATTCACATTTCCCCCCTTATTCTTCTTTAGAATATTTGTCCTTATAGCCGCGTTATTTCTTATTTACATTTTTCTTCCTTCATGTTCTACTTCTTACCAAGAATAATTCATATTTATTATTATACATTATTATACACATATTTTCACTTTTGACCTGTCCATATTTATTCTCCTCTATTATTTCTAGTCTCCAACCAGACATACACCTTGTTCCATACTACATAATACTCTGTGTCTTCCTTTTCTTTTATCTCTTTTGTTATTTTTTTTTTCTTATTTTTCTTATTACTTCTTCCTCTGATGGTGTATTTTTCTTATTACTTCTTCCTCTGGATTTTTCTTATTACTTCTTCCTCTGATGGTATATTCTCATTTTTCCAGCACTGTGCGTATGCTCTTCTTGCCGCCGTTATTATATGTAAAATTAAGTACCATATTTCTTTACCATATTTTCTATTTAAAATACCCAACAAAAAGACCTTATAAGAAGGAATTTATAAGAAGAAATCTTAGGTGTGCTCGCCAATTGGAGTTGTTTGCAAAAAATAAAATAAAATAAAAATAACAGAAGGGAATTAAAAAAAAAAAGCTTTATACACACATTTTTCCACTTTTGACCTTTCCACATTTATTCTCCTCTTATTATTGCTAGTCTCCAACCAGTCATACCACTTGTTCCATATTAGACAGTACTCTGTGTCTTCCTTTTCTTTTATCTCTTTGGTTAATTTGTCCATCTCAGCAGTCCAGGATTTTTCTTATCACTTCTTCCTCTGAGGGTATATTCTCCTTTTTCCAGCACTGTGCGTATGCTATTCTTGCTGCCGTTGTTATATGTAGAATTAAGTACCGTATTTCTTTTACTATATTTTCTGTTTAAAATACCCAGCAAGGAGATCTCTGGTTTCCAGTCTACGGGTTGATCTGTTATTTCTTCGATCCATCTTCTCATTTTAGTCCAGTAATTTTTTTCGCAACTGGGCACGTCCATCGTAAATGGTAATATGTCCCATGTACTTTTTTTTTTTTTTACATTTCTAACATGTTGGCGAATTGTTCTGGAGCATCTTGGCAAGAATTGCTGGTGGAAGGTGCCACTTGTAAAACATCTTCAACTGGTTTTCCTTGAATGCCGCCGACGTAGTCAATTTTATGTTTATTTCCCATATTTTTCCCCATTTCTCCAATTCTATATTATATCAAAAAAAAATTTGCCCATCTAATCATTGTGTCTTTCACAACCTCGTCTAATGTATAATAATAATAATATGTATTATGATATGTATTATTCTTAGTATGAAGTATAGTATGAAGGAAGAAAACTGCAAATAAGAAACAACGGGGCAATAAGGACAAATATTCTAAAGCAGCGGTTCTCCACCTGTGGGTCGGGACCCCATTTGGGGTCAAACGACCATTTCACGGGGGTCGCCAAACAACGCAGTCCGCCATTTTTCCCCCCCTTTTCCTTAGCTGTGCTACTCCCTTTTATTATATTGGCTTTTGAAAGCCAATAGAATAGACTCTCTTGAATAGAGTCTCATTCTATTGGCTTTCAAAAGCCAATAGGAATTGTCCAGGCTGTCTCTGCCCTGCTGAGCCCGCTAAAAGTCCCAGTCTGCAAACGGTGCTGCACCAGTTGAGTAGTCCTCGACTTACGACCGGTTGGGGGGTCGCGGCATTAAAAAGGTTTAGAACCACTGATCTATCATCTATCTATCATCTATCCATCTATGTATGTATGTATGTATGTATGTATGTATGTATGTATGTATCTCTCTCTCTCTCTCTCTCTCTTCCTCTATCTATCTATCTATCTATCTATCTATCTATCTATCTATCTATCTATCTATCTATCTATCTATCTATGCTTTGCCAATCTTCTAAGTTTATAGAATGTCCAAAGTTCTTTGCCCATACTATCATTGTTTCTTTTACTTGTTCTTCTTGATTCAATTATCTTTCCCTTGATATATAATTTGATGGTGCTGTCCCCCCCCCCCAAAAAGGGGTGTTATTAGCCCTCAAACCTCAAAAATACACTTTCCCCAAAAGGTTTCCACAATTTGGGCCACTACTGTAATTACATGAGTCAAGCCGATATAATGATAAATGACATTATTCGGTTTGGCCTCCAAACCTTTCCAGACCTACAATCTTCCGCCGCCACTTAATGGTAGTTTATCCAATGTCCTGAAAGGGTGGGAAAAAAACTTGAAATTTCAATATAAATTTGGACCGAGTACCAGCAATTATAATATTCACCCTAACAGTTGGTTTATCCAATGTCCTAAAAGGGATTGGGGGGGGGGGAGAAAAAAACTTCAAATTTCTGTATAAATTTGGATCGAATAAGAGGAATTATAATAATCACCCTAACGAGTAGCAGCGCATCGTTCCTAAGGGTTAATTTCCCGAAAGAAGCAGCTTTTTTTTTTCTTATTTAAATTTTTTATTTTTTAAACCAACAAAACAAAACTAAACATAACACACACAACACAATGTATACTCCTCCCTTTTTTTTAAACAGCGATTTCGTAACGGTAATCTTCTATTATTTACATTTTTCCCCCTTATTCTTCTTTAGAACGGTTCTCAACCTTTTTAATGCCGCGACCCCCCCCAACCGGTCGTAAGTCGAGGACTACTCAACCGGTCGTAAGTCGAGGACTACTCAACGGGTGCAGCACCGTTTGCAGAATGGGACTTTTGGCGGGCTCAGCAGGGCAGAGACAGCCTGGACAATTACTATTGGCTTTGGAAAGCCAATAGAATTAGACTCTATTCAAGAGAGTCTCTTCTATTGGCTTTCAAAAGCCAATAGAATAAAAGGGAGGAGCACAGCTAAGGAAAAGGGGGGGGGAAACGGCGGACTGCGTTGTTTGGCGACCCCCGTGAAATGGTCGTTCAACCCCAAATGGGGTCCCGACCCACAGGTTTGAGAACCGCTGGTTTAGAAAGTCGTCTTATACGCCAGAAAATACGGTAATTGAATCAGGCATGTAATGCCACAAAGTCTGTTCAGTTATCTGTACTGCATTCTGTGAAGTTAATTTACTGTATATTCCGGCGTATAAGACGACTTTTGAGAGCGTCGAAACAGCCTCCAAACTCGGGGGTCGTCTGATACGCCGAGTCGTCTTATACGCCGGAAATAAGGTAGTTTCCGGCGTATAAGACGACTTTCTAGGCATGCGACTCAGCGTTGATCGTCTTATACGCCGGAAATAAGGTAGTTTCCGGCGTATAAGACGACTTTCTAGGCATGCGATTCAGCGTTGATCGTCTTGCAACTCGGCGTCATCTTATACGCCGGGTTGCCCTATACGCCGGAATATACGGTAATCAATGGAAAGATAATTGAATCGAGAATGTAATGCAGCAAGGTTTGTTCAATTAGCTGTTCTGCATTCACAGCTAATTGAATCAATGGAAATTGAATCAAGAACGTAACGCCACAAAGACTGTTCAATTATCTGTACTGCATTCTATGAAAAGCTAATTTAATCAATGGAAAGGTAATTGAATCGAGAACGTAATGCCACGAAGTCTGTTCAATCATCTGTACTGTATTCTGCGGAGAGTTATAGCCAAATAAGCAGAAAAAGGAAGCACAACTTGCTTAGGTTGATGTCAGGTTGCTTCCCTTCATCTGATTTGTGAGTGTTTAGAGAGCCAATCGGGGGGGGGGGTCATCTTGTTCGGCCAACGAGCCAATCAGATCGCGGTCGGATCCAGTTATCGATGTTCACGTATTGAAGCTGAGAAGAGGACATTTGTCGGTGTGTTATGGGATGGCTATCAAGTCTTGGTTGTGGGTTTTTTTGTGTGTGTGTTTTGAGCGTGTAAAAGGTAATCAAATTAAAGTCAGGGTGCAAAGAGTTGACCGGTCGCCCAGAAAGCGATGTGAAATAGTATTTATTCAGCAAAAGGGGGCTACAGCTGTAAAGAAATTAGAAGAAAAATGGATGGAAGCTTCAGCCAAGGTGGCCTTTTTAACTGCACATTTTCCCCAAAAACTTCCCACAATTTGGGGCCGCTGCTGTGTTTGCTTTTCATTTAAATATTCTTTCTGAAAAAAGGTTTAATTCAGTGTGTCTGTCTGCAGGAGAGGGGTGGGGCAAAGGTGCCCCCCTCTTTCTCGCTTTCGGAGGCTTTTTTCTTCTTCTTGCAGGAAATCAATTTCCCCAAATAATAACAACAACAACAACAACAACAAAACACCCCAGACTTAACAATTGTCGATAAGAAAGACAAAAAAGTCTGGAGAGTGGACGTGGCATGCCTGGAGATAGCAGAATAGAAGAGAAAGAACTGGAGAAGATCACAAAATACAAAGACCTACACATAGAAATAGAAAGACTGTGGCAAAGGCAAGCAAGGGTAGTACCAATAGTCATAGGCACCTTGGGTGCAATCCCAAAACAACTGGAGCACCACTTGAACACCATCATCGGCATTGACAAATTCGCTATTAGTCAATTGCAAAAGGCGGCCTTACTAGGAACTGCTTCCATCCTGCGACGATATCAGTAATACCATCAAACATCCACATCTGCCTATCCCAGGTCCTGGGTAAGGACTCGATAGGTAGACAAAATGCCAAATCCAGTCTGAACATCTGGCTGACTGTGCGATGATCCATAATAATAATAATAATAATAATAATAATAATAATAATAATAATAATAATAATAATAATATCTGCCTATCCCAGGTCCTGGGTAAGGACTCAATAGGTAGACAAAAGGCCAAATCCAGTCTGAACATCTGGCTGACTGCGATGATCCAAAAGTAATAATAATAATAAAAACGGGCTGACCAATTTTAATCCTTCAGCGCAGCGATTAAATCAAATCAACAAAACGAGGCGGATCTTCTCCCCGAAACGGAACAATTGGCTAGCCCGAGTCGTTCATATCACACCTTTGGGCTGACCAGACCAGGCGGTTTTGGAAAGGCTGCAATTATTTCCGCCTTTAAGACCCCGCCGGCATCTTTTTTTTTTTAATCGCCTACCTTTCTTCGAAGTCGTTCGGGCCGAGCAGGACGGGGGAATCCATGCAGCAGCCTGCGGGAGGCGAAAGAACAAAATCAATCAATAAAAAGTATCTGGCTTTGCATGGTACGGCTATTGGAGGACAGCAGAGGAAGGGAATAAATCAGTGGTTCTCCACCTGTGGGTCGGGACCCCATTTGGGGTCGAACGACCATTTCACGGGGGTCGCCAAACAACGCAGTCCGCCATTTTTTTCCCCCTTTTCCTTAGCTGTGCTACTCCCTTTTATTCCATTGGCTTTTGAAAGCCAATGGAAGAGACTCTCTTGAATAGAGTCTAATTCTATTGGCTTTCCAAAGCCAATAGGAATTGTCCAGGCTGTCTCTGCCCTGCTGAGCCTGCCAAAAGTCCCATTCTGCAAACGGTGCTGCACCAGTGGAGTAGTCCTCGACTTACGATCGGTTGAGTAGTCCTCAACTTACGACCGGTTGGGGGGGGTCATGGCATTAAAAAGGTTGAGAACCACTGACATAGATGGATGGATATAGACAGATAGATTATAGATAGATATAAGATAGATAGATAGATAGATAGATAGATAGATAGATAGATAGATAGATAGATAGATAGATAGAGATAGATTGATAGATATAGATGGATGGATAGATCGAGAGATAGACAAAGACAGATTATATAGATGGATCGATGGATGGATACAGACGTAGACAGATAGATTATAGATATAATAGAGAATATGATAAGATAGATAGATAGATAGATAGATAGATAGAGACTGACAGACAGACAGACAGATATGAGAGAGAGGAGGGAGACAGATCATAGATGGTGAATTATGAGAGACAGATGAGCTGGATGGCTAAATGAGTAGATATACATATACATATATAGATATACATATATATAGATGTAGGTCTTTGGTTATTCGGGTTTTCTCCCGCGTAAAATTGGAACGTAAAATTTTACGCGGGACAAAACCCGAATAACCAAAGACCTACATACAAACACCCGCGAAAACCTCAGAAAACAAATATATATAGATATATATATATAAAAGGCTAAACTTGTGTATAGGAAGGGATAAAATAAAATCTCTCAACAGCACCCAGAGGGGATGGGTGACACCGGAGAAGGGCCTTTTTACATCCAATGGCCCCAAAAGTTTAGGGGCAGTTCCGATGCAAAAGCAAATGACAATTTCAGGCTAGACTCCGGGATGACAAAGCACCAGCGTGCACCGCCTTTCTTTTGAATCGGGAAAACGCAGGAACCAACCCGAATCCGTCGAGTCGGAAGAGGAGGTCCTTTTCATATTGGCGCTCTTGGTTTCCACTGTCTGGACGCAACAGTCCGCGGAGCTACAAAAGATTTCAAAGACGGGGCCGTTATTTCCCGCACTGCGTGATTATGGCGTTGTTATATGCACGGCGCAGCGGTAAGTCGAAGCGCTATTGCTGTTATAATAAATAGAATGAAATGGCCTGGGGAGGTGCCACTAGGTGGCACCTATGGTTATGGTTATGATTATCAATCTATTTTATTTTGATAAGTGAATTTTGTTATATAATTATGCTGGATAAATGGAAAATAAAAAAAATTATTTTAAAAAAAAGAAAGAAATGGGGGGGGGAAACCCTGCTCTTTACACAATCACAAAGGGAAGCTACACTTGAAAGCTACAAAAAATAAAATAAAAATTTGGTCTGGTGAAAACATTCTAAGAAGCAGCCAGAGGTTGCTAACCACGGTTTCTACTTTCGTCGCTGCTTCTTCAAACTTTGCTTGCAAAAGGTTTGGAAAATAATCCATTTTGGGGCTAACGGTTTGAGCGCCAGGCTAGAAAAAAGCAGCTGACGGCGAGTTCTAGTTCTGCTCATGCTGACTTAGTCCAGCCTCGGGCACCTAAGGCAGCTAGCTGACTTTGAGCCAGTCTCTCCTTCTCAGCACAAACCACCTCACAGGGCTGTCGTTATGGGGGGGGAGAAACAGGAGGAAGAAGAAGAAATCTTAGGTATGTTCGCCAATTGGAGTTATTTGCAAAAAAATAACGAAGGTGGATAAAAACAAGGGGGGGAAAGTGTTATTTCGGGAAATGAACCCCTAGGAACGATGCGCTGCTACCGTTAGGGCGATTATTATAATTACTGGTATTCGATCCAAATTTAAACTGAAACGGAAGTTTTTTTCCCCCTCCCCTTTTAGGAAATCAGATAAACTAACAATTAAGTTGTGGCGGAAGATTGTAGGTCTGGAAAGGTTTGGCGTCCAAACCGAGTTATGTCATTGATAATTATATCGGCTTGATTCATCTAATTACGGTAGTGGCCCAAATTGTGGAAACCTTTTGGGGAAAGTGTATTTTTGAGGTTTGATGGCTAATAAACACCCCTTTTAGGGGGGGGGGAGTAGTACCATAAAATTATATATCAAGGGAAAGATCATTTAATCAGGAATGTAACGCAACATAGTTTGTTCAATTATCTGGACTGTATTCTATGAAAAGGTAGAGCCAAATAACCAGAAAAAGGAAGCACAACTTGCTTAGGTTTATCTCAGGTAGCTTTCCTTCTTCTGACTGTAGCCATATATATATATGTAGGTCTTTGGTTGTTCGGGTTGTTCTCCCGTGAACAACCAAAGACCTACATACAAATACCCGCGAAAACCTCAGAAAACATATATATATGTATGTATGTATGTATGTATGTATGTATGTATGTATGTATATATATATATATATATATGTATATATATATATATACACACACACACACACACACACACACACATACACACCCACACAAATATGTATCCACAGACTATACATACACTCATATACAACCACATGCACACATTCTATACATACACACTCATATATACACACCTACACAGATACCCATATATACACCCACAGATATATCCACACATATACTGATACACTATACACATTCACATATACACCCCACATATATACCCCCACACACATACATTCTATACATACACTCGTATATACAGCCACACATACACCACTCATATACACCCACACACATCCACTCATGCAGATACTCATATATATACACATTCACATATACACAACCACTCATATACACTCATCCACATTGATATATTCAATCACATTCATGTAAAGATACACACATACATATATCCACAAATATACACACTGACACAAACATATACACATATACAACCACATCCACACACATATACACAACCACTCATATACACTCACCCACATAAGCTCAACCACATTCATATACCCACAAATATACACATCCACACACAAATATACACATGTACAACCACATCCACACATATACACAACCATTTATACACAAGCACTCATATACACTCATCCACATCCATATACTCAATCACACTCATGTACAGATACACACACACATATATATCCACAAATATACACATCCACATACACACATATACACAACCACTCATATACACTCACCCACATCCACATATGCTCAACCACATTCATATACCCACAAATATTCACATCCACACACTTATATACACATGTACAACCACATCCACACCCATATACACAACCACTCATATACACACTCATCCACATCCATATACTCAATCACACTCATGTAGATACACATACACACAAATATATATCCACAAATATATACTTCCACACAAACATATACACACATATACACAACCACTCCTATACATACTCACCCACATCCACATATGCCCAACCACATTCATATACCCACAAATATACACATCCACACCCATATATACAAATGTACAACCACATCCACACCTATACACAACCACTCATATACACACTCACTCACATCCATATACTCAATCACACTCATGTAGATACACATACATATATTTGTTTTCTGAGGTTTTCGCGGGTATTTGTAAGTAGGTCTTTGGTTGTTCGGGTTTTCTCCCACGTAAAATTGGAAGTGTCTTGGCAACGTTTCGACGAAGTCCCATTCGTCATCTTCAGGCTGGTGTTTTCAGCTTCGTGCTTTGAGCAGCATACATATATATCCACAAATATACACATCCACACAAACATACACACATATACACAACCACTCCTATACACACTCACTCACATCCACATATGTTCAACCACATTCATATACCCACAAATATACACATCCACACCCAAATATACACATGTACAACCACATCCACAACCATATATACAACCACTCCTATACACACTCATCCACATCCATATTCATGTACAGATACACACATATATACACAAATATATACATCCACACAAACATATACACACATATACACAACCACTCCTATACACTCACCCACATCCACATATGCTCAACCACATTCACATACCCACAAATATACACATCCACACCCAAATATACACATGTACAACCACATCCACAACCATATATACAACCACTCCTATACACACTCATCCACATCCATATTCATGTACAGATACACACATATATACACAAATATATACATCCACACAAACATATACACACATATACACAACCACTCCTATACACACTCACCCACATCCACATATGCTCAACCACATTCATATACCCACAAATATACACATCCACACCCATATATACACATGTACAACCACATCCATACCCATATACACAACCACTCATATACACACACTCATCTACATCCATATATTCAATCACACTCATGTAGACACACACACACACATATATCCACAAATATACACTTCCACACAAACATATACACACATATACACAGCCACTCCTATACACACTCACCCACATCCACACGTGCTCAACCATTCATATACCCACAAATATACACATCCACACACATATATACAAATGTACAACCACATCCACATCCATATTCATGTAGATACACACATATATACACAAATATATACATCCACACAAACATATACACACATATACACAACCACTCCTATACACACTCACCCACATCCACACATGCTCAACCACATTCATATACCCACAAATATACACATCCACACACATTTATACACATGTACAACCACATCCACACCCATATACACACCCAATCACATACACAACCACTCACATACACACTCATCCATATACTCAATCACACTCATGTACAGATACACACACACACATATATCCACAAATATACACATCCACACATATACACAACCACTCCTATATACATTCACCCACATCCACATATACTCAACCACATTCACATACCCACAAATATACACATCCACACCCATATATACACATGTACAACCACATCCACACCCATATACACATCCACTCCTATACACACACTCATCCACATCTATACTCAATCATGCTCATGTAGAGATAGACACACACACATATATATCCACAAATATACACATCCACACAAACATATACACACTCACCCACATCCACACATGCTCAACCACATTCATATACCCGCAAATACACACATCCACACACAAATATACACACGTACAAACACATCCACACCCATACACACAACCACTCCTATACACACACTCCTCCACATCCACACATTTGCTCAACCACGTTCATGGATACACACACATATATACCACACATATACACATCCACACACACATGCACACACGTACAACTACACACACACACCACCCAAGGCCACACAAAGACTCTGTTCATACACCAGACATCCACAGAAATAGAAGATGGCGCCGCCTCCTCGTCGTCGTCGTCTTCCTCCCTCTCTATATAAACAACAACCCCGCGAGGTGGGTTCCCTTTCAGCCTCCACAGCCCTCTCGGCTTTCGGGGCCTCTGGGAGGCCGGGCAAAAGGTTCCCAGCTTTTGGGGGGGCACGACTAGATGCCCTCGGGGTTCCTCCGCCATTCCGTGAAGGAGCGTGGTGAGGCGAAGGCGCGGATGGGGGGGGGGAGGAGAGGGCGAGGAGGAGAATTGAAGCTTCGGGCCTAGCGGTCCACCCCCCCCCCGCAACGGAAGAGGCTTCGAGGCCGGAGGGAGGCCCCGAATCCGGCCGCGCCTTACCCGGCCCAGTCCAGGCTTCTCCGCCGGGTGAGGGGACCCTCGGCGTCGCCGAGGAGCAAGCGGCGGCGGTGCGGGCGAGGGCGGCGGGCGGCGGGCTCCATGAGGTAATTGTCCCTCGGCGGCCACCGTCGAGCGGCAAAAAAAAATATAAGGAAAACAAACGTCCGCGTGGCGCCAAAAGCCCGACTGAGGCGAAGGAAGCACAGGCCACGCCCCCTTCCCGTGACCGCGCGCGCGCGCGAGAGAGAGAGAGACACCCTCTACTAATCGCCTCAGGCCGGGCCCCGCCCACCAACCGCGGGCCCCGTCCTCCCGCCAAAAGCGGCGCCCGCCAATGGGAAACAGGCGCCGCCTTCTCTCCCCCCCCACACCTCGCACCGACCAATCGACGGTTAAGAAGCTCGAGGCGAAAAAAAAAAAAACAACCAATCAGGCGGAAGCTCCTGTGTATTGGGACTAGAGCAGGGGTGGGCGGCTCATGGACTTCAACTCCCAGAATTCCTGAGTCAGCCTCATAAGGTTGCCTGCCCCCTGGACTGGAGGCAGGAGCTGAGGGGAAAAGAGGGAAGACGGCTACCAAGAGGCGATTGTAGGGGTTAAGGAACCTTGGCGCTTGTATTTATGACTTGTGGACTTCAACGCCCAGAATTCCTCAAGCAGCCGTGCTGGCTGAGGAATTCTGGGAGTTGAAGTCCACGAGTCATAAATAGGGCCAAGCTTCCCTACCTCTGGGCGATAGACATTAGGCAAATTGAGAGGGGCTCCACCAATGCACGACCATAGAGGGAGGAGCTAGAGAAGAGGGAGGGCCCTTTCCCAGGAGCCAATAGGCTATAAAGAGGCTACGGACAAAATGAGAGAGGTTCTTACAGGGCGGGAGATTAAAGGGAGGAGCTGGGATAGAAGGCGGGCCCTTTCCTGGCAGCCAATAGGATGGAGAGGCTATGGGCAAAATGGGTGGGGCTCCTCCAGGGCGGGAGCTAGGATAGAAGGCGGGTCCTTTCCTGGTAGCCAATAGGATGGAGAGGCTATAGGCAAAATGGGTGGGGCTCCTCCAGGGCGGGAGCTAGCATAGAAGGCGGGCCCTTTCCTGGGAGCCAATAGGATGGAGAGGCTATAGGCAAAATGGGTGGGGCTCCTCCAGGGCGGGAGCTAGCATAGAAGGCGGGCCCTTTCCTGGGAGCCAATCGGATATAGAGACTATAGGGAACTTGAGAAGGGCTCTTCCGGGGCGGAAGGCTAGAGGGAGGGTCCTTTCCTGGGAGCCAATAGGATGTAGAGGCTATAGGCAAATTGGGGGGGCTACTCCAGGGTGGGAGACAAGAGGGAGGAGCGAGGGAAGGGAGAAGGCCCGTTCCGGAGAGCCAATGGGGACAGGCGCGGCCTCGCCCCACCCGCGAGGCTATATAGATAGGCAAAATGAGACGGAGGAGCGAGGGTAGAGGGAGGGTACTTTGCTGGGAGCCAATAGGATGTCGAGGCTAGAGGCAAAATGGGTGTGGCTCCTCCAGGGCGGGAGACTAGAGGGAGGAAGGAGGATTAGAGGGCGGGCACTTTCCGGGGAGCCAATAGGCGGAAGAGGTTGCAGAGACAGGCCAATTGAGAGGGGCTCCTTTCAATGCAACTAGACCAGAGGGAGGAGCTAAAGAACAAGGGCGGGCCTTTCCGGAAAGCCAATGGGAGAGTCGCGGCCTGGCCCCACCGCCGAGGCTATAGAGATAGGACCATAGAGAGTGGGTCCTCCTATGAGAAAACTAAAGGGAGGACCTGGGAAAGAGGGAAGGCCCGTTCCGCAGAGCCAATGGGAGAGGAGCGCACTAGTCCCCGCCCTTCAAGCTAAAGAGATAGGAAAACGGTAAAGGGGTGCGAGGACCTTGTGTTTCCGGGTAGGGTTCTAAAGGAAAAGGGCTCTCCCTTCTAGCTCTGATGATGTTCCTTAGTTGGGTCATGAGACGTCTGCAAGGAAACCACCCAGCTCAGGGAATACCAGGGAACCCACAGTCCTTCCTCCTCTTCCTGCCTCTCCTCCTCCTCCCTCCCTCCCTCCTTCCTTCTAGCACTGATGACGTTCCCTAGTTGGGTCATGAGACGTCTGCAAGGAAACCACCCAGGACCCCCCAGTCTTTTCTCTCCTCCTCCCTTCTCCTCCTCCTCCCTCCCTGGCTTTTCTCTCCTCCCTGTCCCCCTCCCTCATTTCTCCTCATTCTCCCTCCCTCCCTCCTTTCCTTCCTTCTAGCACTGATGACGTTCCCTAGTTGGGTCACGAGACGACTGCAAGGACACCACCCAGCTCAGAGAGCACCAGGGACCCCACAGTCCTTTCTCCACCTCTTCCTCCTCCTCCTCCCTCCCTCCCTTCCAGCACTGATGACGTTCCCTAGTTGGGTCACGAGATGTCTGCAAGGACACCACCCAGCTCAGAGAGCATCAATGACCCGACAGTCCCTTTCTTTCTTTCTTCCTTCCTCCCTCCCTTCCTTCTAGCCCTGATGATGTTCCCTAGTTGGGTCACGAGACGTCTGAAAGGAAACCACCCAACTGAGAGAGCACCCAGAACCCCACAGTCCTTTCTCCTCCTCCTCCTCCTCCTCCCTTCCTCCTCCTTCCCTCCTCGGCTTTTCTCTCCTCCCTGTCCCCCTCCCTCATTTCTCCTCATTCTCCCTCCCTCCTTCCTTCCTTCTAGCACTGATGACGTTCCCTAGTTGGGTCACGAGACGTCTGCAAGAAAACCACCCAACTCAGAGAGCACCAAGGACCCCACAGTCCTCTCTCCTCCTCCTTCCTTCCTCCCTCCCTCCCAACACTGATGACATTCCCTAGTTGGGTCACAAGATGTCTGCAAGGACACCACCCAACTCTGATAGCCCCAGGGACCCCCAGTCCTTCCTCCTCTCCCTCCTCCCTGCTCTTCTCTTCCCACCACGATGTTCAAGCCCCCCGTTTCTCACTCAGGGCCCAAAACCTTGCCTAACAAACAAACCTAGGTTCAGAGAGACGGGCATCGCTCCTAAAAAAACCCCCAAACCCTTAAGCTTCCATTGTACCGTCATCAGGACGGACTGCTTGCCGTATTCCGACGGGATCCCACTAAATGGGTTTACACCCCAAAATATATAGACGGGAAGCAGCCTCCGATTACAAGCATAATCACACGCCGTCCGGAGGGGAAAGACCATCAAATGATTTAAAACAGGATTCCCAGCGGGCCAGTCCTCGATTTACGACGCCGTTGGGAAGCAGGAGTCCCGTCGCGGCGCGAGGGGGCTGTGGAGGCAGCCGCGCGGCCGTTAAAGTGGATCATTCAGTCGTGACGCAAACCCCGCTTTCCCGACGGCAGTCTTAAGCAGCAGTTCTCAACCTGTGGGTCGGGACCCCATTTGGGGTCGAATGACCATTTCACGGGGGTCGCCAAACAACGCAGTCCGCCATTTTTTCCCCCTTTTCCTTAGCTGTGCTACTCCCTTTTATTCTATTGGCTTTTGAAAGCCAATAGAATAGACTCTCTTGAATAGAGTCTAATTCTATTGGCTTTCAAAAGCCAATAGGAATTGTCCAGGCTGTCTCTGCCCTGCTGAGCCCGCCAAAAGTCCCAGTCTGCAAACGGTGCTGCGCCAGTTGAGTAGTCCTCGACTTACGACCGGTTGAGTACTCCTCGACTTACGACTGGTTGAGTAGTCCTCAACTTACGATTGGTTGGGGGGGTTGCGGCATTAAAAAGGTTGAGAACCACTGGTCTTAAGTACAGGGAGTCCCCGACGTACGAGGGTACCCCAATTTTCCGTCGCTAAGTGAGACGGCGGTTGGGGGAGTTTTGCCCCATTGTACCAGCTTCTTTGCCTCCGTCATTCACTGAATCGCTGCACTTAAGTCACTCAGACGGTCGTTAAACGAATCCAGCCTCCCCAGTGATTTTGCTTGTCAGCTCAGAAAAGGAGAAAACGGGACGGGGCGACCGTCGTAAATACGAGTCGGTTGCCAAACTGTCTGAATTTTGATCACGTGAACCCAGGACGCTGCGACCGTCGTAAATACGAGTCGGTTGCCAAATGGTCATTAAATGAACAGCTGCCAAGTCCCGGAGCAGCTATAATTCCTCACAGCGCTGGGTATATTATAAATCAAAGGTGAAATCAAAGCAACCGGCCGCCGGAATTAGCATTTAATGTGAAGGATTTAATGTTCAAATGGGTTTAAAAATGGCCTTTTTGACTATTTGTTAAAAAGGGAAAAAACAAGTTTAGCTTCTTTGCGCTGCCAAAAGCTTCAACGGGAAGAATGAAATTTGCAAACTAATTGTGTTTGTGGGCTGGCGTCACTGGCCTTTTTGGATGTCGACTCCCAGAATTCCCCAGCAGGCATGCTTTAAGAGGGGGGCTTCCACTCCCAGAATTCCCCCAGCCGGCATGCTTTAAGAGGGGGGGGGATTTTCACTCCCAGAATCCCCCAGCCGGCCATGCTTTAAGAGGGGGGGATTTTCACGCCCAGAATCCCCCAGCCGGCATGCTTTAAGAGGGGGGACTTCCACTCCCAGAATTCCCCAGCCAGCGTGCTTTATGTTATACAAACCATTTTTATGTATCCATCACTATAAGAATAGCAAAGAGGTGAGGAATTCCTTATAAATCTTTCTGTGGAGAAGTTTCTATTTTCTGAATGTGTTTTCTGTGTTTTGTGTATGTGTGTGTGTGTGTGAGAGAGAGAGAGAGAGAGAGAGAGAGAGAGAGGGAGGGAGGGAGGGAGGGAGGGAGGGAGACAGACATGACCGATCCCCTTTTTCTGACTTTCCTAACTGGCAACTGATTTCGCAACCTTTAAGAAAAGTCGTAAAATGGGGGGGGGAAGAGCTCGCTTAATGTCACGCTTAACGAGAGGAACTTTGGGGTCGCATTGTGGTCGTTCAGTCGAGGACGACCTGAACTGCAGCCGTTAAGCTGATTAGTCTGTGCTTAAAAAGCTGAACCAACAATCAAAGCCCTTTTGTATATTAGAAGCTCAGGGAGAATAGAAAATAATAATAGGATAGGATAGGATAGGATAGGATAGGATAGGATAGGATAGAGAATAGAATAGAAACATAATTAGAATAGAATAGAATAGAATCAAAAATAGAATAGAGAATGGAATAGAATATAGAAATTAGAATAGAAGAGTAGAATAGAATAGAAATATAGAACAGAACAGAATAAAGAATAGAATAGAAATATAGAATAATAGAACAGAATAGAGAATAGAATAGAAACATAATTAGAATAGAATCAAAAATAGAATAGAGAATGGAATAGAATATAGAAATTAGAATAGAATAGAATAGAAATATAGAACAGAATAAAGAATAGAATAGAAATATAGAATAGAATAACAGAATAGAATGAGAATATAATATGAATAGAACAGAATAGAGAATAGAATAGAAACATAATTAGAATAGCACAGAATCAAAAATAGAATAGAGAATGGAATAGAATAGAATATAGAAATTAGATTAGAATATAGAAATTAGAATAGAATAGAGAATAGAATAGAACTATAGAACAGAATAGAATAAAATAGAACAGAATAAATAGAATAGAAATATAGAATATAATAGAATAGACTAGAAAAGAACAGAACAGAATAATAGAATAGAATAACAATAGAATAGATTAATAATGGAATGGAATACAATTTAAAATAAAATGATGGAACATAACAGGATAGAGCTGGAAGGGACCCTGAAGATCTTCTAGTCCAGCCCCCTGCTCAAATAAAAGGCCTTTCGGGGGAAGAACACAACGGTTTATCGTGGCAATAATATTCAGTAGTCCCAACAACATTGGGGGGGGGGGCACAGTGTCCTGCGCAACGACACACGGAAAACCGGTCCTCTGATTTAAAAAAAATAATGAAAAGCCACAGAGAGAAAGAGTGTAACGCTCATCCACACGACGCTGGTTTGGATTTTCAAGTAAACGTAAACTAATAACAATAATAATGTTCCCAAGAGTTCCATTCTTGTTTTGTGTGTTTGTGTGGTCGTCACTTCCAATCGCTGGGACAGTCGCCTCGGTTTCGGCTTTTGTATCCCCCCGGAAAAAGAAAGAAGATTTATCGGTCGGTTTCCAGATCCAAAAAAAGAAAGAAAAAAAAAACCTTCAAAAAGCCACTTTTTTTTTCCCCTTCCGGACGTTACAAATCAAAATGTTCTTATCAAGCACCCATCGAGATTATTTATAGAGAGGAAAAAAAACACAAACTTCTCAGTAGTGTCTGGACACGACGACAGTCTCAAGAGATTCCAATTTGGAAAACGGAGCCCCTTTTCCGCCTTCTCCAAACGCCGCCCTGGCAAGTTTCCGGTCCTCAAGGAGCACATTTTTATTTTAATTCTTTTTTTTTTTCCCTCTTCCTGTCTCTCACCTTTCCCCGGGGGATTCGTTGTACCTTTGTTTTGTTTTGTTTTTTGTTTTTCTTTTCCTCCCCCAAACCCCTTCGGAAAACGGGAGGTCAGTTTCGCGAGTTTTTGGCGAGACCCGGGAGTTTTTCCACCAGCGTCTGGTGGTTCATCTGAACGCTGGCGATCAGGCCGTCCTCGTTCGCGTCGGAGCCGGTGTACGTGATCTCCTCCCCGGCTAAGGTGGTCATGTGTCCGCCCAGGGCCTTCAGCACGGCGTTGCCGGCACAGATGTCCCATTTTTTGATGTAGGTCACGTGGATGTAGATGTCGGCTCGTTCCTGGTGGGCTTCCGGCACGTCCAGGAGAGATAATACTTTATACCCTGGGGGAAAATGGAAGAAAGAAAGAAAGAAAGAAAGAAAGAAAGAAAGAAAGAAAGAAAGAAAGAAAGAAAGAAAGAAAGAAAGAAAGAAAGAAAGAAAGAAAGAAAGAAAGATAAAGGAAGAGAAACAGAAAAAGAAAGAAAGAGAAAGAAACAGAGAAAGAGAAAAAAGAAAAAAGCGAAAGAAACAAAGAAAGAAAAAGAGAAAGAAAGAGAAAGAAAGAGAAAGAAAGAAAGAAAGAAAGAAAGAAAGAAAGAGAAAAAATAAAGAAAGTAAGAGAAAGAGAGAGAGAAAGAGAAAGAAAGAGGGGGGAAAGAAAGAAAGAGAAAGGGAAAGATAGAAAGAGAAAGAGAAAGAAAGGGAAAGAAAGAGTAAGAAAAAGAAAGGAAAAAAGAGAGAAAGAAAGAGAGAGAAGCAGAGAGAGCAGGAAAGAAAGAGAAAAAGAAAGAAAGAAAAAGAAAGAAAGAAATTGTAAGAGAAAGAAAGAAAGAAAGAAAAAGAAAGAGAGAAAGAAAGAAAGAGAGATAAAGAAAGAGAAACAGAGAGAAGGAAAGAAAGAAAGTAACAGAGAGAAAGAAAGAGAGAAAAAAAGAAAAAAGCGAAAGAAACAAAGAAAGAAAAAGAGAGAAGAGAAAGAGTAAGAGAAAGAAAGAGAGAGAAAGAGAAAGAAAGAGGGGGGAAAGAAAGAAAGAGAGAGAGGGAAAGATAGAAAGAGAAAGAGAGAGAAAGAAAAAGAGATAAAGAAAGAGAAAGAAAGAGAGAAAAAGAAAGGAACAAAGAGAGAAAGAAAGAAAAAGAGACCAAAATGTTTTATACATGGCAACTTGCCACCAGCCAAATTAGCAAATTATCATCATCATCATCATCTTCATCTATTAAATTTGAAAATGGAAGATGAACAAGTGAAAGACACCACGACAACATGGGAAAAGAATTTTGGATATAATATATATAATATAGATTGAGAGAAATGGCAAGAAATGATAAGTTAACTATGTCTGCCTCTTATAAAGAAAACTTATACAAAATATTTTTATAGATGGCAATTTACCACCAGCCAAATTAGCAAAAATGTATATCATCCTCATCCTCATCATCATCATCTATTAAATTTGAAACTGGAAGAGAAACAAGTGAAAGACACTACGATAACATGGGCAAAAACTCTGGATATAATATCACACGGGCAAAGAACTTTGGATATAAAACTTGATATAACATGATATAATATAATTTAGAGAAACGGCAAGAAATGATAAGTTAACAATGTCCACCTCTTCTAAAGAAAACTTATGCAAAATGTTTTTATAGGTGGCAACTTGCCACCAGCCAAACGAACAAAAATGATTTAAAAAAAATATGTTGGAAGCGTCCTCACAAGCCAGGTATTAAAAGCCAAGAGATAGCCGACAAAAAATAACACAACGGCTAGAAAAGACGCTGGGAGGGGGGGGGGGAACCTGTAGATTTTGAAACCTGAACGTTTTTTTTTTTTTTTGGTTTTCTTAAATTTGGTACAAGGCCATAAAAGCTCGATCGACGAAGTCTAGGTTTGATTTTTGCCGGTGAGAACAGCAGCAAGACTTCTTTTTGCACAACATTTGGGAAAAAAAAAAAAATGAAGAAATACCATCGGGGGAAGAAATAATTAAAAAAAAGAAAGAAAGAAACACTAGACCTTGCAGCAATGGACAGCCTTTCTTAGATATTGAGAGGAAAAAGAATAATAAAACAAAATCGAAACGTGGGGGAAAAGCCGACGGAAGCCCACCTGCTCCGCCGGCGTTAATGATGGCCGTTTTATTCCCAAAGCTCTGCCAGGCCACCTCCTTGACGGCGCCTTCGTGGGATCGCGAGACGATGATGGTGGGCGTCTGCTCGTTGTAGGAAGGGCGCGGCTGGATGTTGGAGCCTCCGCTCACCATGGCCCAAGCTGGAAAAGAGAAATCGACGGGTCGAGGGGGGGGGGGGTTGGTTGGTTATCGTGGCTTTCCAATGAGACAGATAGAGGCAGGGAGGGAGGGATAAGATAGATAGATAGATAGATAGATAGATAGATAGATAGATAGATAGATAGATAGATAGATAGATAGATAGATAGATAGATAGATTAGATGGATGGATGGATGGATGGATGGATGGATGGATGGATGGATGGATGGATGGATGGATGGATGGATGGATGGATGGACAGAGATAGGACAGAGAGAGAGAGAGAGATTTATAGATAGAGACAGATAGAAAATATGATAGATAGATAGATAGATAGATAGATAGATAGATAGATAGATGTATGGATAGATGGACGGACAGATGGATGGACAGAGATAGGAGAGAGAGAGAGAGAAAGAGAGAGACAGACAGAGAGACAAGATAGAGATTTATAGATAGAGACAGATGGATGGACAGAGATAGGAGAGAGAGAGAGAGATAAGATATAGATATTTTTAGATAGATGATAGATGATAGATAAGATAGAGATAGATAGATAGGTAGATAGATAGATGGATGGATGGATGGATGGACAGAGATACAATAGAGAGAGAGAAGATATAGAGATTTATAGACAGAGAGAGATAGAAAATATGATAGATGATAGATAGACAGATGGATGGACAGAGATAGGAAAGAGAGAGAAGATAGAGATTTATAGATAGATAGAAAATATGATAGATGATAGATAGATAGATAGACAGACAGACAAATGGACAGAGATAGGAGAGAGAGAGAGATAAGAGATAGATATTTTTAGATAGATAGATGATAGATAAGATAGAGATAGATAGGTAGATAGATGGATGGATGGATGGACAGATGGATGGACAGAGATACAATAGAGAGAAGATATAGAGATTTATAGATAGAAAATATGATAGACGATAGACAGAAGGATGGACAGATAGGATAGAGAGATAGAGATAGATAAGATAGAGATATTTTTAGATAGATGATAGATAAGATATAGATAGATAGATAGATAGATAGAGATAGATAGATAGATAGAGATAGATAGATAGATAGATAGATAGATAGATAGATAGATAGATAGATAGATAGATAGATAGATAGATAGATAGATAGATGATAGATAGATCAGTGGTTCTCCACCTGTGGGTCGGGACCCCATTTGGGGTCGAACGACCATTTCACGGGGGTCGCCAAACAACGCAGTCCGCCATTTTTTTCCCCTTTTCCTTAGCTGTGCTCCTCCCTTTTATTCTATTTTATTCTTTTGAAAGCCAATAGAAGAGACTCTCTTGAATAGAGTCTAATTCTACTGGCTTTCCAAAGCCAATAGGAATTGTCCAGGCTGTCTCTGCCCTGCTGAGCCCGCCAAAGGTCCCATTCTGCAAACGGTGCTGCACCAGTTGAGTAGTCCTTGACTTACGACCGGTTGAGTAGTCCTCGACTTACGACCGGTTGGGGGGTCACGGCATTAAAAAGGTTGAGAACCACTGAGATAGATAGATAGATAGATAGATAGATAGATAGATAGATAGATAGATAGATAGATAGATAGATAGATAGATAGATAGATCCTCCTCCCTCTCCTCTTCATAAACCCCCCTCCCTTCTAGCCTTGATGTTATTTCCTAGCTGGGTCATGAAACGTCTACAAGAAAACAAGGAAGCTCAGAGAGCATCAAGGACCCCACACTTCCTCCTCCTCTTCCTCCTCCTCCCCTTCTACCCCTGATGATGTTCCCTAGTTGGGTCCTAAAATGTCTGCAAGAAAGCCATCAAGCTCAGAGAGCATCAAGGACCCCACAGTCATTCTTCTCCCCCTCCTCCTCCTCCTCCTCCTCGCAGCCCCATCTCCTCCTAGCACTGATCTTGTTCCCTAGTTGGGTCCTGAAACGTCTGCAAGGAAACCACCCAGCTCAGAGAGCACCAAGGACACCCCCCCCCAGCCCACTTCCGTTCGTTCCTGACACCCTGTGCAATAAAAAAAAAATGTCTCTAATGGTAGGTTGTGGATTCTATCCTTCCGTGTTGTGGGTTTGTTGTTGTTGTTTTTTAAACACCCCTTCGACTGGAAGTCGCGTTGCCCACCAGGTCGGAGGCAACTCCCGCCCTAGTGTGGAGGGACGCCATGTCGTTCTCGAAACGCCCTGTTGGGTGGAAAGGAAACGAGCCACCTACCGGTATATTCGGAAAACGGCTTGTGGATGACTCCGATTACTGGTTTACCATCCACCGCCGCGCAAACCATGGTCGTGACGTACTGGACCAGATTCTCTACAAAAGGGAGGTACAAAAAAAAAAACCAAAACAAACCATGAGACGTTCATGCCGGCGCGACAAGGGAAACACACACACACGCAAAAGACCTCGCCGATAGTCCTCGCTTCCCTGCCGCCACAGGGCCCCGGGGCGCTGCGACCGTCCTAACTCCGAGTCGGTTGCCGAGTGTCTGGATTGTCTTCACCGGACCCAGGGATGCTGCGACCCGTCGTAAATATGAGTCGGTTGCCGAGCGTCTCGATTTTGATCATGTGACCCCGGACGCTGCGACCGTCCTAACTACAAGTCGGTTGCCGAGTATCTGGATTTTGAGCACGTGACCCAAGGATCCTGCGACCGTCGTAAATACAAGTCGGTTGCCCAGTGTCTGGATTTTGATTTCGTGACCTCGGGACGCTGCGACCGTCCTAACTACGAGTCGGTTGCCGAGCGTCTGGATTTTGACCACGTGACCCCAGGGACGCTGCGACCGTCCTAACTACAAGTCGGTTGCCCAGGGTCTGGATTTTGATCACCTGACCTCAGGACACTGCGACCGTCATAAATACAAGTCGGTTTCAAAGCGTCTAGATTTTGATCATGTGACCCCGGGACACTGCGACCGTCGTAAATACGAGTCGGTTACCAAGCGTCTGAATTTTGATCTCATGGCCCCAGGATGCTGCGACCGTCGTAAATACGAGTCTGTTGCCAAGCGTCTGAATTTTGATCTCATGGCCCCAGGACGCTGCAACCGTCGTAAATACGAGTTGGTTGCCCAGCATCTGGATTTAAATCTTAAACCAGTGGTTCTCAACCTTTTTAATGCCGCGACCCCCAACCGGTCGTAAGTTGAGGACTACTCAACCGGTCGTAAGTCGAGGACTACTCAACTGGTGCAGCACCGTTTGCAGAATGGGGCTTTTGGCGGGCTCAGCAGGGCAGAGACAGCCTGGACAATTCCGATTGGCTTTTGAAAGCCAATAGAATTAGACTCTATTCAAGAGAGTCTATTCTATCGGCTTTTAAAAGCCAATAGAATAAAAGGGAGGAGCACAGCTAAGGAAAAGGGGAAAAAATGGCGGACTGCGTTGTTTGGCGACCCCCGTGAAATGGTCGTTCGACCCCAAATGGGCTCCCGACCCACAGGTGGAGAACCACTGTCTTAAACAAATAAAAGTCCTTATTTTCAACCAGTTTCCGAGGATTTTGAATCTAAGGACCAGAATTCCCCTTCTCCCTTTAACCCTAATTCATAATATGAAATCCCCTCTCATAAGTGAAAACCCAATTTTCTTCAGCCCTATTCTGGCTTTCTTCCTTTGCCAACTCGGCTTCCCTAGCAGTGCTTTTCGATCGTCCAACAGACCTCTCCCTTTTGTAGATAGATAGATAGATAGATAGATAGATAGATAGATAGATAGATAGATAGATAGATAGATAGAGATA